TTGCACCTACAAGGACTTGAGTACACACAGGAACGCAATTGCGTACATGTCCATGTGCACAGAAAGAGAAAGGGGTGGGTGCATTTGAACCTTGCAAACCTCTTTAGAAAACAGTTGAGAGGAACACTTCCATCCATTTTGAAAGGCAGTAGTGTTCTGATTATCTAAGCTGGTCACATGCATTATGAACACAGAAAATTTCAGGTTCACATCCTCTTAATAATGCACCTCCATTGCTGCTGTCCGCTGGCCTCTCTGGGGCTGGCCCCGCAGGAGGCGGGAGGTTGGACACTGAGACCACAGTCAGATTGGCAGGGAGCTAGGCTGTAAAAGATATAGGCCTGGAAACAAGGGCTAGGGTTTGGCTGTACTTTTCCAAACTATGAAGTAAGGAAGCTGCTGAGGGAAAAGCAAGGCCTCCTCAGGGCTCAGGAGAGGCGCAGGTTTCACACAGGCATGGCGCTGAGTGGAATAGGAAGTGGGGGTGTCCTCCAGCCAACACCTGGCTAGGCTCTACATGCTGCCTTCAGGGCCTGGGTGGGGCAAGGCTTACAGCAGTTCCCGGGAATGCTGGCTGTTCTGGCTGAGATGTTACAGTGACGTCCTGTTCTTGAGAAGTTTGTGTTGCCAGAACAGCCCCATGATCCCAGGTGGTAAGTGGGCAGGCCAGGGTGGACACATCCTCCTGGGATCTGAGTCTTCACGGGTCTGGCTTTGCCTGAAGGACTGAGAAGGGGTAGTTGGCTGTAGAAACACACAGGGGAAGGCTACCACGAAGGCTGGCTGGTGGGGATAAGAGGGTCTCTTGGTGGTGATGTGTGTGGGGTCTAGTGGCTCTGAGTCACAAGATGAGGTCCATCTGTGCTAGTGGGAGAAAAAAATGTGGCTAGTGTGGAGCAGACTAGGGAGTCAAGGCTAACTGGAGCCTCAACTACCTACTTCCACCTGAGGCTCTAGCTTGGAGGATCATCCTCTCTGGTCCCAGAAGCCTCTGGAAATAAGAGCCACTATATACTAGCTTCTGCCCGAAGTTAGTAGTTATTATGAGATTTGAGTTTAGTGTAAATGGCGGGGATTTGGAGTGTGGCAGGGAGAGGTAGCGGGAAGGGAGTGGGGTCTGACATGGGATCACTGTAGACACACAACACAGACACAGCTCTGCAAGCCTGGCCTGGTGCAGGTCTGTCTCAGATGGGGCCAGAGACTGAGATATGGGGTCTTGTGGATTTTTCAGGGACCCCAGGAAACAGGATGAGATTGTACAAGGAAGATGCAGGGAGAGCCCAGCCAACCACTCAGGAGGGCACGGGGTATGGGCAGAGAAGACAAGGATAGAAGGCTGGAGGTCTGTGCAGCAAAGGGGGTGCTTTGCCTGGCCTTCATGTCCCCACAGCTGAAGACCCTAGTGTCCCCTCGGAAGCAAACTTCCCCCAACTCCCCAGGGTCCTTCCATCTGAGTGACTGCAGCACAGCCTTCCCATGTTAGACTCAGGACACTGGCCACTGGTGAGTAAAACATCATACTAGGGAGGCGGAGAGAAGAGCCTGCAATTAAGTGTCTACTGCTCTTATAGAGGACCCGGGTTCAGTTCCCAGCACCCACATCAGGCTGCTCTCAACTGCATGCAACCCTGGTTCCTGGAGCTCCGACACCCTCTTCTGATCTCTGTACCACCTACAAACATAGAACATGCCTCTCTCTCTCTTCCATACACACACACAGAAAGAGGGTGGGGGGGATCTTAATTTTAAAAATCAGGTCACACTCAGGAGGCAGAGGCAGGTGGATCGCTGTGAGTTCAAGGCCAGTCTGGTCTACAAAGCAAGTCCAGGACAGCCAAGGCTACACAGAGAAACCCTGTCTTGAAAAACAAAAACAAAAGAATAGGTCACACTAAGGACCTCTGGGATGGAGTGCTTCCATTGTAGGTGATGGCTCACAAACTAGTCTTGTATCCGGGCCTCCTGGCTCTGTGGTGCTCTCCTCTCAAACTGTGGAACCTGGATAGAGACCACTAGAACTGTCTCTACCAGCTTTCAAAAATCCAACTGCTGTTTTGGCAACACCCCTTACTGACCTGTCTCCTGATCAGCCAGTGTTTGCCCATCAAGGACCAACAAAGAACTTCTGACTCTTCCAGGGGCTTCAGCTTGGCCTGGGTTCCCACTGCATACCACCTACTTGAACTGCTGTCTGTCCATTCCTTTCTCTCATCTGGACCCATTGTCCACCTGCTGCCTACACCCACTGTTAACCCTTTCACCAGCAGTGGCTGCTACAGCATTCCCAGCTTCTGTTTTGTTGTCTTATCCATACAGACTAATGCACCTTCTCCTGTTTTTCTAGTTTTGACTTCTCATGCCTCTTTGGGACTCCTTGTCAACCCTTTGTGGTTACTCACTAACCTACACCCACACACACACACGCACAAGAACACACACATTTGCTATGTGATGTGTTGTGTGTATATAGTTAATATTGGAATAAAAGAAACTGTTGGCCTCAGACAGGCTATCAAAGAAAGCGGGATAGTCTGGCACATTACTGCCACCCAAACAGCTATACTGTGAATATGCTGTTACTAATGTTAATAATATGTTAATAATAATAGCATGTTAAGAATGTGCTGTTATTCAGCGAACTCTGACATTGAGGAAAAGACAAAGATGTGTTGACCTTTGTCTCTGACATAGCAGTGACCCCTACTCTGCACTTGGCCAGCCAGCCAGAGCATAGCCTGGCAGGAAAGAAGCAAGCCCATGAGCCAGGCAGAAGATGCAGCTGCCTGCGGGCAGAGGTTTGGATAGATGCAGGGAGAAGGGAGCCCTGGAAGGACCCCCAGGCAGAGAAAGGAGCCAGACGCCACCCCACACCCGCCCTGCTCCCAGACCTGGCAGTTTCCCACAGGACAAGGTAAGGACAGCTGGCTCCCAGACTCCACATGAGCAAACTCAGCAGAACTACCACGTTCCTGCTAGAACCCAGAACACCCATACAGGACAGGGTGGAGGGGGGTGGCTTTTCACGTGTTTCCTGCTCTAGACACCCCTCCTTGGTCAGGAACCATGTCGCAGCTCTGCCTACACAGACCCAATCCCACATGGGGCGTCCCCTAACCCACGATGGCCATGCCCACAGTGGAAAGCAGTGTGACTGAGCACAGGGCCCCCTGGATCGATGCTCAGTGGTTATGAACGCTTGCTTCTTTCAGAGGACAGGAGTTCAGTTCCCAGAACCCACACTAGGTGGCTCACAGCTGCCTGCCATTGCAGCTCCAGATGACATGCGCATAAACACGCATTGACATGTATGTGTACAGAGAAATACAATTGTTTTCTCTTAAGAATTTTATTACTTTTGTTCGTGCAGGATTTTTTTTTTTTTTTTTTTTTTTTTTTTTTTTTTTTTGCCTATATGCATGTCCATGAACCACACTGGCTGCTCCCGCAGAGGACCTGGGTCCAATTCCCAGAACCCACATGGTAGCACACAATAATCTTTAACTCTAATCCCAGAGGTAATCTTTAACTCTAATCCCAGAGGACCTGTGACAGGGCAACTAGTTCTGACCACTGGTGATGTGAAGTCACATGAAGACATTAAGAGTCCCCAGGGAGGAGCTGCTTCCACAAAGGTGACGGTTTTTCAAAGTGCTCCAAGATCTGGTCTTCCTGGCTCTGCTGTGCTCTCTTCTCTAGCTGTAGAACCTGGAGAGAGAAGCCCATCAGAACTGTCTCCACCACCCTTCAAAGAACCAGCAGCCAGGCCCCATGAGGGTTATGGGCCACCCAGGGACTGAGAGAAGATGTGCTGGGGAAAGGCCTGATGGGAGTTACTGGTGGCCAATGTGGATGGGGAGATGCCAGGTGCTTCTATTTCTGCCCACCATGAGGCCACGGAAATCCCTTGCTGATCTGTAGGGACTGCTACCAAGTGGGTCTTTGTGGGAGGTAGAGTGGTCAAGCCCTTATTACCACTAAAAAGCAGAGCTTGGTATTGGGGAGATAACTTAGCATTTGAGAGCACTTACTACTCCTCCAGGGAACCTGAGTTCAGTTCCCAGTTCTGATGTCAAGCTTTCTGTAACTCCAGGCCAGGGGATCCAAAATCTCTAGCCTCCATGAGCACTTTACCCACAGGCACATATGTACACACACAGATACACACATAGTTACAAAGAACAACAATAAATTAAACAGCTGGTGCAAGTCCCACCCTCTGCCCTTGGTGGCTAGACTGGTCCATTCCTATGACTCAATGACAGCAGGGGGCTGGGACAAACCATGTGTGCATCAGCTCTGCAGGGTGCCCGATCTGTCCAGCCAGTGGCGACATAGGACAGTAGCATGTTGACCCATGTCTCAGCTTCCCAGTGGCCGCTATACCTCCCACTTACTTCCACTGTGTCTTCTGAGTTACTGGGGGTAGGGTACAGGGTGGTTCCCAAAGTCAGCTGGATACAGTCACATCCTTGCAAGGGGAAGCCCAGAGGGTTTTGTAGCCCCATGCCAGCCTTCTTTGGCCTGAGCACTACTGACCAAAGGGACCAGATCTCTCTCTCGGGAGCAGAGGAACATCTGGCAGCATCCCTGCCTTTTCTTCTGGATGTTAGAAGCTCCGACTCCAGCTCAGTCATGATGACCATGATCTGCCTACCTCCATCTTCTGAGTGCTGGGATTAAAGGCATGGATAACGCCAGGCCTATTTCATACACACACACAATTGAGACAGGTTCTCTCTATGTAGCCTTGTACAACTTGCTACATAGGTCATGTGGCCTCAGACTCACAGAGACCCTCCTCCAGCTCAGCGGAACACTGTCCATGGTTTGCCATCTTTAATTGTGTCCCTAGGCGGAGCAGCTGTCTCTCTCTTCAGCGAAGCAGAGCCCAGCTGGGAAGGAGCTGTCTCTAATTTGTCATTTGTGGGTGTTTCTACTGTGGTCTTAAAAAAAGGAGGGAGGCAGAAGCTAAGCCTGCTTTAGTCCCTTTACTGAAGCAAGGGCAGAAGCATGCCATGACAGTTTGCATATAAAAAAAGTTTTTCTCCCCGAGGGAAACCCCTCATATGCTCTCCCAGGCATGATACAAACTGCCCTCTGGTTGTGCTCACCTGGTAGTCAATGCAGTGGAATTGCCAGGGCCACTTCGGGTTGTATAGAAAGGGCCTCAGGTCAAACCTGTTGTCGTCAGGACTGTAGTTTTCAGCGTGATATGCTGGTGTGAGAGTTGTCATCTTGTGCCTGTTCATGGAGTACTTTGAGAAAAATCGCTTCACCTTCTCAGCCACCTGGTGGGCAAGGGACACACGGGCTGCAAGTTAGAAAGGCAGGAAATACTCAAGGCTGAGAGCCCTGCCTTTGGGAGAAATAAAAGGCCAGCGGCTGCCATCCCTGTCCCTGGCTTTCCCTGACAGCAGCATGGAGCTACAGCAGCTGAGCTGGCGCTGACTGAGCTGCAGGACCATAGGTTCCTTGTTCTAACAGCCCATTGCTGTGTTCCAGGAAGCCTCCACGTGGGCCCATTAAGTCCTCTGGCCAGCAGAGACCTAATGCATTCCGAAGCCTCTGTAATGCACCCGCACACCCTGCGTGGATGGCCCACACTGGGGTTAACTTAGGGCAGCCAGGAACCCCAAGCTGGTGAAGATGACAGCCACAAACATTACTGTATGAGAAATAAGCTTATCATTTTGGGGTCACGCACAGGTGGCTCAGGCTGACGTCACACATAACTTTACCTGTCTTGGTGTACAGCTGTCTTTCCACATGTTGAGCACTTTGCAGAACATGCTGTAGGGTCCTGCCTTGGCGACCTTCCGGAGCCTGCCGAAGATGGAGAGTTCTGCGTATGTCATCCCCATGTCTTCCTGTGAGGACAGAAGTGTGTTCAGTGTGTAGTGGGGTGCTGCTGGGAGGGACCTCAGAGGCTGTTGCAGTTGGGGAACCAAAGATCCAGGGAGGTGACCCTCAACAAGGGCCAGAAGTGGATGCCCAGCCTGGGTTCTCAGAACTAGACGGGTGCCAGGATATGCAGGTTTGGAAAATGACCAAAACCCTGCAAGGCAAAGGAGGTGACTGACTCTACTCCAAGGTTGCTCTGAGGGAGGGAACCTGCTGTGAGGAACCTGGATTCCTAGCTTGTCTTCCTCACTTTCCCTCCGACCTACCTTGTCATCTCCCAGTACTAACCACACTGAGAAAGCTAAATGAGAGTGTCTGAGGGCTGGTTCCAGCAGCCTGAGTGAGCCAGGATCCCGTGGCAGAAAGGTCTCCTTTTGGTAGAAGGGCGTTATGAAGGGACCCAGTTACAAGGGAAGACACATCCCCCTGAAATAGCCATCATCGTTACCTCATCCGTCTGAGACACCTGCCCGTTGGCTAAAGGCTCCAGCTCTGCAGTGGCCGGTGCTGACAGGATGCTGCAGGAAGACATACTGAGTTAGTCACCGGGGCTGCTAATGTGCTCATGAGCTCTGGTAGGATGTCCCTAGAAAAGCTGTTCATGCCTGGCAGAGCCATGCTTGGGCTTATGGTCCTGGGGCCTCATGACCCAAAGGATGATGGATCAGGAACAGTAGGAGGTGAAGAGTGCAGGGCAGGGACCCTCACCTGCATGGCTATTAATTAGTAGCTGGGATCAGAAGATGTGGCCTAGTGGCTATGGTGGAATCATCTGACACATTACAGGACACTTGGGAGGAACCCCAGCCTGTGCCGATGAGCTGCCAGGAACAACTCTTTGTGACAACCAAAGGTATCTCCAGATATTGCCTGAGATCCCCTGTGGGCACAACTGACTCTTTGAGGAGAGCAAGGACACAGACTTTTCCTGGTACCAGGAGTGAGGTTGCAGTGGCTTGAATGGCTGTAGGTGTCCTCAACAGTTACTCCCAGAGACCAAGGCTGCCAAGCGCCAGCACCCGCCTCTACCTTGAGAGGGCAGCAGGAGATGAGACAGTATTGGAGGAATTGTCACTTAAGATACTCAGAACTGTGGGCACAGGAACAGCAGTGGGTAGGGTCATGACCTCATGCTCCCAGGTGAAGGGCGAGGCGTAGGGAGCTTAGGAGGGTGGCTGAGTAGGGACCAGGGTGGCCCTGGAGGCCTAGGAACTCCAGGAACCCTGGCAGAAGCACTCACGTCTTCAGGGTGGGAAGCTGGAAGCGCTCTGCGCAGAACTGGACGAAGGCTCTCAGGTCCGTCTTGCTGATGCCGCCTATGGGGTTGATGTCTGCGCTGGAGCAGTCATACTTGGTTAGGTAGCCCAGGAGACTGCCAGGAAGAAAGGACAGTGTCTCCATGATTCCTGGGGTATTGAAAGCTCTGAGGTCCATCATTGCTGGCCAAGGACTCCTTTCTTCCAGGGGCCCTCAAAGTCACAAGCCCGGCACAGCCCGGGCCCCGGAGGAGGCCAGCGGGGTGATACTGAGCACACCGGTAGACACCTATCTTGGTTCAGAATGCTTAGGTACCACCATCAGCCCACCTCTAAAGGCTTGTCTAGAAGGCCAGGGCCAGCCAGGTGGAGCTCATACAGCAAAAAGAGCCCCGGACATTGACCGGGACTGTAGACAGAGATGGACCTGCATTACAGGGTGGGTTTGAGAGGCAGCCCCAGGGCTCCTCAAAGGACATAAGAATTAGAGAGCCATGGCCAAAGTGTGCCGTCAAGATGCCGATGGCTATGAGGACACAAGGAGGGCTGGGTTGGTGGCGGGTATGGGGACAGCCTCCAGAGGCCAGGAAGAGGCCCGGCAGTCTCAATACTTTGAGGGGTTGGAGCAGTCACCCTGCATTGGCCATGAGAACAGAGGACTCGGGGCTTACACGCCTGCCAACCCCACCCGCTGCCATAGCTCTGTCCCAGGCCACTGTGTTCCTTGGTGAGACCACCCATTCCTGGTGGGTGTTTTTGCTGACCCAGTGGCTCCAAGCCTAATGGGCAAACAGTGACACATCTACTAGCCTAAGGTAGGTGTCTTCCGGTGGGACAGAGGGTTGGCACTACTGTGATGGGGCTCAGACTGCCACCAGCAGAAACACGGGCCCTGAATAGGTGCCTACAACACACCCTGCTCTCCTTGTTGTTCATGAGACACACCGCTCTCCGTGTCCTCATGGACCCCGGTGAGACTCTGGCCTTCTTTCCTTTACCTCCTGCTCCACTGATGTCAATCACTGGCCCTGGATGCCTACAGAGTGGTCTCAGCCTGACCTGTTAGCAAGAGCACCCCCACTCTACCCCCACTCACCTGTGTGCCACCCTCAGGCCTGGGACAACAGCCTTCCTTCAGAAGGCAGCCACCACGTGGCTAGGCTAATGTCAGTAACCCAGGCTTGCAGGCTCCCCTGTGAAGGTTCCTGGGCCTAAGCTGTGTGTACAAACTGCACCGATGGTGCGGAAGCCCTGCATTCCTCCTGGGAGGTGCGGTTTCTAGCAGGTCTCAGCAGAAGGTGCCGGCCAGCCTGGGTTTACCTGCACCCCAAACACTGAGCGACCACCTGCCCAGGAGGTGGCCCTTACTTCACCTGCCAGTAACGGGTGAAACTGGATGTGTCTCTATTAACACTGCTGGGAGCAGGTTTGGCAAACTCCCTGGCTGCTCTGTCCTTACCTGACCTCACGGCCAGTCTGTCTGCAGTAGAGGCCAGAGTCCCAATACAACTCTGTCCCAAGTCCCAAGTCCTCTTAGCAATCTCAAAGAACTCATTGGACCCAAGACACCTCAGGCACTTATCCATCATCCTTATGGCTGTGCGTCATCATCTCGCCTCAAGCTCTTAACTCTTTGCTTCTCTTGGCACCATCTCTTGGCAAAACAACAACAAACTTTGGCAAAAAGCTGGATGCCACTGCAGAGGGATGGCAATCCCCATCATACTCTACCCCACCCCCACTGGTAAATCCTTCTTCCCCTACTCCAAGGAGAAAAAGAACAGCCTTGGGCTCTGGGGAATGACGCTGTCAGTAAAGCATTTTCTACATAAGCACGAAGACCTGAGTTCACATCCCCTGCACCCACATAAAGCTGGACACAGTGGTAGTCATCTGTCATCCCAGGACTCCTATGGAGAGAGACAGAATTCCCAGAACCTTACAGGGTAGCCAGCCTGGAGTACACAGCAGTGAACAATGACAGCCTGCCTCAAACAAGGTGGGAGATGAGGACTGACACCGGAAGCTGTCCTCTGACCTGCACACACATGCCATGAACATGCTGGCTGTACACACACACACACACACACACACACACACACACACACACACAATCTGCTAGGTGTGGTGACACATGCTATCATCTCAGTTCTCAGAAAGCAGAGGCAGAAAGACTGCTTCCAGTTTGAGGGGAGCCTAGGTTACAGAGTAAGTTTGAAGCTACTCTGTGCTTCATAGTAAGAAGTTGTCTCAAAAGCAAACCAAACCAAACCAAACTGCAGAAGTAGTAGTGTGTATGTATATGTGGGTGGGTGAATGGATGGACAGATGGATGATTGTGGGTGTATGTACATATTTATGGGTGGGTAGGTTGATGGAAGGGAAGGGAGGGGGGGATGAATGGATGGATGGATGGATAGGTGGGTGGATATACTGATGTGTGGGTGGATGCATGGACGGGTGAGTGGGGGGGTAGATAGTTGGGTGATCAGAGGGATGGATGGCCAGATGGGTGGCTCAACTTATGGCTAGACAGACTGGTGAAAACACTAATTGATAAACACACGATTTTTAAACAATTCTTCAGCTGATGAGGAGCTCGTGAGAACAGTTAGGTGTGACAGCTCACCCAAGGAAAGCAGGGGATGGAGCCTGGAAAGGGATCTGCTGGTCTCCACTGCTGGGTCTGAGGTTGGATTTTTCCTGGAAACTGGTAAAATCCACGGACCAGTGGACATTTTGTTTTTAAAAGTAAGAAAGAAAGAGATTTGTCTTCAGTCCAAATAGAAAAACAGCTTATCTTGTTTGGAAAACTGACTGCAATGAAATAATCTATGATGCATGGTCAGGAAAGGAGGAGGAGGTGGGGCCCCCAGTGTGGCTGACAGGAGCTGGAGGCAGGCCAGGCATGGAAGTAGCCTGAGCTGGATGAAGAGTGGGTTGGCTGGGAGTAGATAGAGGTTTCTTGGCATGCACTTTCTGGATATCCTGATATTACAGGAAGACTATGTCTTGAAAGGACCAAGCTTCCAACAAGAGATTTAGGATACTCGAGTCCATCAAAGCAAGTCCCCAGCCGCACACACCTCTCATCCACATTAGCAGATCCAAGCACAAGAAGGCCTCCTTGAGCACCCCGGGACCAGAGGCTCAGCTGAGCAAACAGGTAGGCGAGGACCATCCTAATCCGAGCCTGGATGAGGAAAAAGGAAGTTATCCTGTGCCAGGACCCAGGAAACAGCTACATTATGATGCAATCATTGCACAGGAGCAACCAAGTTAGAACACAGACAAGGTGAATCAAGCTCTCATGTGCTGGGGAAAAGCCTCCCATGCTCCCCCTGCACCAGTCCACAGCAGGGTCATAGCACCAAGAGTGACAGGAGGTGGGCACCAAGAAGCCGTAGCCAGAAAGATGCGCAGCAGTGCCCTCTGCACTCTCTGTCTTTGGGGAGATGGCCATGCACACAGGAGCAAACAGTGATGGCATGCTGACATCCCAACAGACAGCCCTGGGACCTTTTCTCTCCCTGTTGATACACAGCATGTAGGCTAACCAAGGTAGCCTAGAGGTGGGGCAGAGCCAGCCAGGCCAGGGCTGGACGAAATGCACAGGTCCCCACATATCCCTGTGCGTGGTCATGGTCTCGCACACACTTTTCCCCACTCACAGACCTGCAACCTAAAGCATGGCTGTGTGGCCAGTGGCTAATGAGGCTTGCAGGTTAAACCAGCACTGCCCATCCCATCCCTAGGCTCCCTGTCCTCCATTGTCTTCCCCTCCACACCCTTGGGACCAGGGCCAGGCTCAAACACCTACCTGCACATTCTGCAAGGCCAGGTTCTCCCTGCTGCTTCCTCCATGTGCTGAAAACCGAGGGAACTTCCTAGTCACCAGGCTGAAGATGCCTAAGACAGCCTTCACAGCAGTGTCGATGCTCAGACTGATGTGGTAGCTGCAAATTCACAGGTGAGGGGGTTCAGCAGAGGTATGCTAAGACATGCTCTTAACTACCTTTTAAAGACATTTCTTGGGCCTAGGTGTAATGGTGCATGCTTTTAATCCCAGAATTTGGGAGACAGAGGCAGGTGGATTTATGTGGTCAGCCAGTGTTAGAGTAAGGTCTGTCTAAAAAAAAAAAAAAAATCCCTTGAGGCTGGAGCAATGGCTCAGCAATTAAGAACACTGACTGCTCTTTCAGAGGACCTGGGTTTGATTCCCAGCACCCACATGGTAGCTCACAACCACCTGTAACTCCAGTTCCAGGGGATTCCATACCCTCTTCTGTAACTCATATGTACATACCGACACAACCTATATAATTAAAAACCATTTAAAAACATTTTCTATATGTATTGGAGGGGGCACAAATTCCATGGCATGTGTGTGGATGTCAGAAAACAACTTTAGGGAGTCAGTTCTTTCCTTACAGCATGTGGGTCCCAGGGATTGAATTCAGGTCATCAGACTTGGTGGCAAGCATTTTTACCTTCTGAACCCTCTCGCTGGCCCTCTATTACCATCCAACAGCATGTGACTCAACCATGGTCCACACAGTCATGACACTGTAAAGCCATTACTGCTCACCATCTAGATCCAGAAGTGTTGCAGGATATTTGATCCCACTGTGAACCCCGAAAGTGTGAACTGTAAAACCCTGTTTCTTGTTTGGTGTTGTTGAGCCCTAACACACACCTTTAATCCAAGAGCTTTCTGATAACAGGATTTAGTAAAGTTAACCCTAAGTCAAGAGGAAGAGCAAGAAACCTGCTGACAGTGATTAAAAAGTAAAAGGGACTTTGAGTTGAGGGGTATTTAAGACAGCATGGAGAAGTAGAAAGGGCTTTTAGCTCAGGCTCTGACTTTAGCTTAAGCTTTATTAGCTCTTTAGCTCCCTGGCTTTCAGGGCTTTGAGCTAGCAAGCCTTCAGCCTTGGGTTTTTTTAGCCTTTTGTTCCTGGGCTGTCAGTTAAGCTACTGAGCCTTTTGGGTTTTTTTCCATCTGGACCTGGCTGAGAAGGAAGGTCAGCTGGGTGCTTTCTCTGTCTCTCTTGAGCTACAGCAGGTTTTCATCCCAGCATCTGGTCCTGAGTCTTTATTGGTAAAATTGAATGGTTGGACTTCTTTCTTTCTCCCTTTCTTTCTTTCTTTCTTTCTTTCTTTCTTTCTTTCTTTCTTTCTTTCTTTCTTTCTTTCTTTCTTTCTTCCTCAACACAGAACATACCAACCTAGAAAGAAATCCTGCCCAGTAACTGTCATTCCCCACTCCCATGTACCCCAGCCTGACAACTGCCAGTCCACTGTCTGGACTAATAAATCCACCATGGATATGCCAGTCTGGGCAACTTACAGAAATGGGGTTGTGCATGTCATGGCCTTTGACACCTGGTGTCAAAAGCATGATAGTTCCAAGGGTCACTTATGCTGTAAAGGCACTCTAACACTCCACAGTGTGGGCACGTGACATTTTGTGTAGCCATTCAAGAGCTAATGGAAGTTTGGGTCATTTCCTCCTCTCACTACTGTGACAAAGCTGACAACCA